GCACGTCACTGTAAAATAGCACTCATTGGCCCTTGACGGCCATCCGTTTCCTAGGATGGTCCAAACATTTCAAAAATCGGAGTTTGGTACAGAATATGTAAATTTGGATAAATCTGAAAACATCTACAACGTTTAAATTTACTCATACACAACAGCGAGTTAGAAGGAGTGACGTTCAACTTAATCCGAGTTGGGGGGAGATTATTAAATACACCAATTCTGTATGATGCTAAATTTCCACTGTTACTCTCCTGAAAATTAAAATTTGTCTCGCTATTTCAGCGCAACCTCCATCGAAATCACTACCATGCCGGTGCCAAGATGATGGTATCACTTTTGAGACAACAGATATGGTTAATCAATGCGCGAAAATTGCTCGTAGCTGCGGTCACTGTTTTCGTTATAAGCCAGTGCTAATGAACCAGATAATGGGTAAATTTGCCAGCTGATAGGGTCGGAATGGCACGCCCCTTTTTAGTTTGCGGGATAGATTTTTGTGGCCTATTCTATGTGTCATTAAATGTGTCCGTGACTAACCTGTCATCAAAACTTATGTAGCCGTTTTCGTATGCTTTTCGTCGAAGGCTGTTCACCTTGAACTTGTTAGCGATCTATTCACTGAGAGCTTCTTATCCGTTTTTAAAAGGTTCGTAGGGTGGAGGGGGCTGCAGGAGAAGGTGTACAGAAGGTGAGAACGCCACGAGCTTCGTAGGAGCGTGCAACGTTTTGAAGAAGCTGAGCGTAGCGTTTCACCGCAGTCAGGACGAACTGAGAGGATACGCGGATCAGAAATGGATGGACCATCAACGCCGAGGTCACCACACTTCGGAGGATTATGGGAGGCAGCCATCAAGTCGGCCAAACACTGTCTGTTGCGAGGAGTCGGCAACGCCAAGCTAACAGCGGACGAGTTGTGCACTTACCTGGTCGAGGTGAGGCTCTGCTAAACTCTCACCCAATCACATCGCCGGGCAAAGATCCCAGCGATGGAGAGGCCGTAACACCCGGACATCTTTTAGCAGGGCAGCCTCTGATCACGCTTCGGATCACGTAAGCGTCGGAGGCCGCGATCTGGAGGTCGGGTGTTTGTTGCTCGTTCTTGGACAACTTGCCCCCGCAACGGTGGCTAACAGGGCGCGTGGTGGCAACAACAACCGGTGAAGACGGTAGAGTGCCTATGGCGGAGTTACGGACTTCACGAGGTGTCATCAAGCGCGCCATCCACAAGCTGGCATTGCTGCCAATAACCAACTCTCCGATCAAGGAGATTAGGGCGCCGGAGGCATTTAACGGGGCCGGAATGTTCTTAAGTTGTATTGTTAAATTTAAGTTAGAATAAATACTGGAATTATCTGAAGATGGAAAAAATATGAAAATACCACAAAAAAGAACACCGAAAACCAAACTATCATAATGTATATGTCCGCGTTAAATCAAACGTGATAGCTACGGCAGGCATACATGATATACATACATATAATATATTATATTAAATTGAGTACATACAGCAAAGAATTCTTCATACACTCAAAATGTATACGTCGGCGTAAAATCAAATAACGTGATAACTACAGTAGGCCATATACCAAATAATATCATACTTATATACAATAAAGGAATTCCTCTTACATTAATACAAAACCAAATGCACATATCAAAATATTATGTCAATATATATAATATATATATATATTATATATATAATATCAAATTGGACCAACTAAAAAAATCTACAATCACTATAAAACAGAGAAATACCAAAAATATAAGTACCAGAAGGTATAAAATAATTTGTTGAGTAAAGAATGTCTATTAATAACAATACTACTCCAGGTAGCAACCCATTAGTTGGAAATCCACCGATGGAAAATTCCACGGCAGGGGCACGGATTCTGGAGGCCACGTTCTAAACCAACCTGGCGAGTTGGTGGCACGCTTGGCCGCATCGACAGTGAACTCAACAAGCCAACTTAAGAGAGAAATGGACAACGCGGGGGCTTTCCTCAGTAAGAACTCGCCAAGAACACCTGCTCTACCGCAGACTGACGGGTCCAACCTTGCTGAGATGGTGGATGGGCAGGACACGCCAAAGTGGGATAGGACCCCTACCAGCCCCTCCGGCTCGAGGACAAAACACACCCAAAAAGGACAAAGACCAATAGGCAGCTCCTGTGTGCCGATAAGCTGGCGGAAATTGGACTGGTCCTGAACCAGCATATAATCCTGACCAACGTCAAGCAGGTGCATCACATCAACGTCCAGATGAAAGCGATGTTCGTTAAGATGAACGCCCTCCAGGAGGACGCCAGCAGAAAGCTGGATATGGAGGACGAACGATGCAACGCGAACACAAATGGCCTCCCGGGGTGCCCATGACAGCCCATGAGCAGCCCAAGTACCACAGTGGAAGAAGCCGAGGGAGGAGAGAGTGAGCCCTCCAAGACGGCAGGCGAAGACAGCGGAGCAAACCACGGCATAGCAAGCTGGAACACCGTGCTGCGGCAAGCCAGATTCATGGACGAAGGTGGAGACGGGAAAGAAAACACGCTTGTCGCGGAGACCCGGCGCAGTGATAGTTGAAGCGAGAGGAAAGACCTACAGTGAGGTCTTGGATTTGCTCACGAGGCGAAGCAACGGACCACTGCAGGTGCTGGGAATGCGGATGCGGACAAAAGTGCATCGCTGATGAAGAGCGATCTGTCAAAGGACTCGAGGATGCAGTTCCTTTTGATTAGTGACTTGGACCCAGTATTCGTTGCAGAGGACCTTTCAAAGGCGTTGGTGTATCAGTTCAAAGACCCAAGCTTAATAAAGCAGAGAAGCCTTCGACCTTCCTTCAGGGATACCCAAACGGAAACAATAGGCAGGGGACCTCTCGCCAATGCAGTTTAGCTTACGGAAGTCGAGATCTATAGTGGATGCGATTGCTACGATGAAGGAGATCGCCTCGAAGGCAGTGGATGAGACTAGGTGGCAAGAAGGCCACAAGGCGTACTGTCTAGTGGTGACACTCTACATCAGAAATGCCTTTAACTCGGCAAGATGGGACGTCACCATAGAAGCTTTACAGAACCTAGGCGTTACGGGGACGTAACACTGCTTGGCATTCTTGAGTCCTACTTCAGCGACCGAGTGCTAGTCTACGACACAGATGGAGGGACATGTGAGAACAGGGTAACCTGCGGAGTCCAACAAGGCTCAGTACTCGGCCCACTGCTGTGAAATGCCATGTACGATGGGGTGCTGAGGTTGCCACTAGCAGGAAGAACCAAGGCGATTGGCTTCGCGGACGATATTTCCATAGTAATAGTGGCAAAACCCGTTTGAGAAATCGAGGGCTTTGGTAATGCATCTATTTTCACCATGTGAGTGGCTCTCATCGGTCGGCCTGGACATTCAACACCACAAAACGGAGGCTGTTCTGATATCCAGCCGAAAACAGGTAGTCACCACCACAAACACCAAACACCACCCAAGTCGGAAGCGCCACGATCAACGATCAATTCGGCTAAAGCAAGAAGATATCTAGCGGTAATGCTAGACACCAGGCTGTCGTTCAAAGAACACCTGGCGGAAACGAATCAGGAATGCTCAACTGTAGGGGCCCAATGCAGTCTGTACTTCTACAGACGGGGCAGTACTCCTACAGTCCGTCTGCAGGGCGACACCACTGTACGCAGCCCCCATATGTGCCGAAGCTTCCGAAAAACGGTCTTACGGTGTGCTCCGGTTTTCGGACTCTAAGACGGCATGGCGAAGTCAATTTCTGGCTGACCCAGATCCTAAGCGGTCATTGGTGCTTTAGGAGCTACCTAACCAGGTTTGGCCACGATGTTGACCGCAACTGAGCAGAATGCGGCGTCGAAGATATCGCCGAGCACATTATATTTAATTGCTGGCGATTCGACCGCGCCCGAGAAGGTTTCGTGGAGAATATAGGGGACCCGTCGATATTTGGAGAGCGCATGATGTTGGGCCAGTCTTTCTGGGGCCAAATCATCTAGTTCGAAAAAAGAAGTACCCAAACACTCAAAATAAAAATATACTAATATAATATATATATGAAATCACAAAAAAAAAAATACACATACACGTTTATAAATTTGCTTAAGAGCTTGTACTAGGAACTCAAAATCTTTCTAAAAAAGTTACCCGCTCCAGTTCTCGGCTAAGCCCAATACTTGGAGCGAGGAAATCCCACAAAACAAACAAACATGGACTCGGTTAACATATCTGACCCTTCTTAGTCCGTAACGCCTACAGTTAGCAACACCAATAGCAACTTATCAGCAACCCTTAAACCAAAGGACATTATGAACCTCGTGTCCGGGTATTTTCGATCATAAAGTTCCCTTGTAATTAGAATTACATAGATAATTAAACACGGACACACTGGCGTTGTCTATAGCGACCTTTCAATTTCTTACAAAATGTTACATCGTTAAATCAACAAATATAAATTAAATATACACTTTAAAAGTATAAATATAACACTAATTTTAAAAGGGTATTCAGAAGTCTACTCTTTGCTTTCTTGTCTCTGATTTTGTCCCCTCCCATCACACTATCTTATTTTCAGCCACTGCTCTGAAGTTCTTTAAAAAGAAATAACAAATATGAAGTTCGAGGATAGGCAGCGGAAGATCTCCGTCAGAATTCGGCTTATCTTCTGTGTTCGAAACTTCTCTAGAAGAAGCCTGTGAGATTTGTTTTTGTTTTTTAAAATATTGGTACTGAAGATGTGTTTATTCGATTTCGGATGAAAATGCCAAAGCTGAATTAAAAATTCACGTATAAGCAATCCAATTAACAAAAAATTTACAATTAACAACCAACAAATATTTTATAATTAGCAGCTCTGCTCTGAAATTAACCGTTAATTTTGGATATTTTTAAGTGGAGGCACTATTAAATATTTTTTTACAATATAAATGTACCTTATATACCATACATCTTATATTCATATTCAAACATGTTGTTTTTATTCTATATCTTCCTAGGAAGTCAAAAACGTACAGCCTTTTTTGTTGGGAGTCGCTACGGACGATCCGGAAGTACAACATATGATGAAAGTATAAAATCCAGACGAATTTTCATCGTACCGCGAAACGAGCATTTCTTTCTTGGCTCCCGGTATGGAAAACGAAGCGGAAAATATTTACCGACTTACGAGGGAAATAAACATGCAGACAGTCCGGAACGGATTTGGAAACAGTTGGAAAGAACGAACTCCAAACTTAAGCTATACAATCATGCTCTTTCTGATGCGAAATTCTAAACTAGTATATAAAAGTAACATCAATGTCGAAACCCCGAGGTATTGATTAATCAATATTCTGAGTTAGTGATGACATTCGAATCTGACATGAATGTAGAACACTAATGCCTTCTGTAAAAATGCCTTCTGTTAAAAAAAGGATTCTGCATTTAACAACAATATGTATATATCATACGCCTTAAGCGTTTTATCACAACGAAGGAAAACTGCTAAGAAATTAAAGGGCTTGCAGATGCAACTGCATCGTACCTTTGTCGTTATGGCATGGTTGAAAAAATGTAAAGTGTTTCAGTTCTTAAAAAGGAAAAAATATATATATTTTTATATATATTGTTAAAAATTAAATATCATGTTTATTTTTATTTTATGAAAGAGAAAGTAGACAAATAGTTTGAATAAACTTCGGAAAACTGGTCAATTTTTGCGTGTTGTTGTAGATGCCTATCAGAGTTCCCGATACTGAATAAGAATTGTAACGGCCTGACGCGACAGTTCGAAAGAACCGCCAATATAGAATCGATAGTAGTACGAGGAACCGGTAAAGTCGGTGTCATCTAACATTTTTACCGATATAGAAGTACTGTTAGAGATATGTATCGATAGAGATATCGATATTCCGCAATTAGTGTTTCTAAACGTGGATATTGTCACCGGTTAAGTTACCACGAAGTTCCACCGGCCATATGCCGATTTCAGCAGGCCAAGAAAAGAATAGGCCGAGTTATTTTCTTGGAGAGCTGAAATCCAGACGTGTCCATCTCCGAAATCCCGAAGCAGAAGGGACAGAAATTAATGGCGTATTGTGGACTCGTGCGGAGTCACTAGCTTCCTCCGCCCGGCGGGAAGGGAATTTGTGATGGGTTTTTTTTTTTTAAACTTCGTGAGGATTTTTCTAGTCAAAGCCAAAAGTAACAAAATTACTGGGCAAGAGTCTGAAGTGAGATTAATTTTAAAACTGTTTTCAGGTGGTTCTTTGATGCATTTCTGCCAGTATCTTTGACAATTAAGTGTGGTAGCGGCTGCGCAAGGCAGTGAATTCATTGTCTTGGGAAGAAATATCGCCGAGAAACCCTGCTCGGCGATCGAATTCCTGCAGAAAGAGTAAAATACCTCTAAGGAGTCCCAGAAGGATCATTTAAATCGTAACCATTGTAATGATTGTGAAAAGTGCAGTGAGGATTTTGTACTGAGGATGTGGATCTGCGGCCTGTAGCGGATTATTGATTTTTGTTTTGAGGAACCGTAGCCGAAAGGAACAGCCGTAGGAACAGCTGAAACACAGTATCAATGTTTTTTATCAATGTTGAACAGTTTCAACGATGAAAACAGGTGAAGGGAAGTCCCCCTGAGCAATTTAGACTATAAACTGAGAAGGATAGTCTCAGTGTCGCCCAGCTGAACTGTGCCAATTAGTGAGACTCGATAAATTCCACTAATGTCCACGTAAAGTATGTCCTTACTTAAATTCATGAATGTATTTCTGCTTTAAAATTTGATAAGTTTACATTCTTATGACTATCATTGAAGCTATTCTTTTCGAAGTAATACCATTGATTGTGTAGGTGAAGGCAAGAGCTCCTAAGCTATGGCTGATAAGAAAGTTGCTACCGAAATTCCTTTTAAATACCTCCTCGTGCCAAGCAAATAGCTCGCGTTATCTTTTGTTTCTTTCAGATTATGCCATCGGAAGATCAATCTTCGTCATTGGATAAAAGGAAAGTGTGCAGTGAGTTGTTGAAACTAGATTAAGAATTTTCCGGCGTCTCTTGCCTCGACTAACGCAACGATAAAGCTTATCTGATAGCACTTAAAAGATTATGGTTTGGAGTATTTATTTAGCGTGGTAATCATAAGAGTCTAGCTGAAAACGACTAAAGTCGATAGCTTGAACAAAAGAAAATGTGGCGGATGTCAGTTAAGGATTTAGGTACAAACAAAAATGGAAAACATATGAAGTAGAAATTTCAGTAAAAAAATGTATAATTAATACAATAAGTGAATGAGAACTAAAAAGGAGGAAAATTTTCGGATTACCTGAATTCTACTTTCTTAATCGTATTCATCTCACTACTGGATATTTATAATAGAAAAATAATGCTTCACTTTTTTTTATTCTAAGAATCGATCACAATCGAATATAGACAATAAGAATAAATCATGGATGTTTGAAATTTGACTAAACTGTACTCAACTGATTTATTCGTGTGAGTAGGTAGATTCAAAGGGGTCACCACAGCCTAGCTCTAAGGGGCGTGATCATAGGATGGGAGGGCACAACGCGACCCCAATAATAGCCTTGGGTTCGCATCTCTGAATATCTCGTCATCTTTCCTTTTTCTTAAACTGCTTTCGCGAATCGTCTATTCTCTTTTACCGGCTATGTATTGCTCATTCTTTTGTCGCAGCACGCTCAATTTTCGAACTATTTAATAATAAAGGGCAGCCCGTGCTTGAACCGGTGCAGGCAAAATCAACACCCCCGAAGCCGACGAGCAAGGTCGGATCCTAAAGCGTGCCACCGCAAGTACCGATTCTCGGAGTCTCAGCACAGCACCCGTCGTTACACGTTACACAATTAATTAAGAAGGGAATGCTTTCGAGCTTAAGAAGTATAACGGGTGTTCAAGATTTGTTCAGTATCCCCAAGTTAAATCCACTATTACTGTCATAAGAAAATTTGAGTAATATATATTCCGTTGTAACGAACTGTTTTCCTTAGTTTTGCTCGCTTCGAATTGCAACGGCTAGCTCAGAGAGTTTGTGTGTTCGTCCCACCAAATTTATGATTTATGTGATTGCCCGGCCAAAGAGGAGACAGAGTTTAAGTTAGAACAGCTTTATTGCAGTCTTCTCTAATGACAGATTCCTATGGTCCTCGCCGTCGGCTGCTTGGTGTCGCTCTTAGGATTGTTATGGTCTTAGGGGGCTTAGGATGTTATGGTGGGGAGGTGTATCGCCCGGTATGTCAAGCTGAGGCTCTTCCCCGGACCACCTTGACCGACCAATGACTCCACTGACCCTTCTGACCATGCTAGGTTCCTGTGCGCTGCCGATGCCCTTCGTTGTCCTGCGGCGTCCTCGACTGTGGTCCCGTGTTTAGGCTTGGGGCTTGGCGGGGAGGTCTATCGTCCGTGAATCCGGACCACCTTGACCGACCAATGACCCTTCTGATCGCGCCTTGTTTTCCACTCTCAGGGACCGTCCCGGGGTACAGCTCCTTGCGTACTCTCGCGTATTCTCACTGACTGCTTGGTTATCCTCCTGTACGTACGGCTCTTTCCGTGTTTAGCTGACTGTCTGTCCCGAGCTGCGCTTGCGCAGTCCCTTTTATAGGCCGCGGGGATCCCGTTATTTTCGCACGGCCCGTTCGGGTACAAGGTCCAACCCAGTCCCGTTAGTTCACGGTGCGTCCTCTTTGTGCTTGTCCAAAGTCCGCACCGTTACCGTGCGACCTCTGTGCCCTTGGCCAGCTTGAGTCCAAAGTCAAGCGGGCTACCGTTAGTTCACGGTCTCTCCGCTATGCTCGGGTCCAAGGTCCATTATTTCCCGTTTGACCTGGTTGCCCTTGACTCCTTCTACATTCCAGCATTCTTCGCTGTTGCTAGGCAGATCTCCTGCACCTCGATTTGTGGGGAGTTTTAAGACTCCTCACATCTCCCCCTTCTTTCCGAAGTTTTGCAAAGATGGAGCCTCCGGCGGTCCTCTGCTTCGGCGTTTCCTTGCAAAGGCAGTTTCCTCGTCTCTCCTCTCGTCGACCCTGCGCCTTTTGTTCTCAGCCTGGCAGTCTCAGCCTAGTAGACTCCGGCCTTTTTTTAGCGTCTCGACTTGGCATCTCGAACCTCCTCGCGCCCTTCTCCAGCCTCCTTCCGTTGTCCTGTACCTTCCTGATCTCAGCCTTGGCGTTTTAGCCTAGTAGACCCTGTCGTTTAGCGTCTTGACGTGGCATCTTGATCCTCCACATAGCTCCTGACGCCTCTCGTCGACAAGCACTTCCTTGATCTCAGCCCGGCAGTCTCAGCGTAGTAGGCCCCGTCGTTTAGCGTCTTGACTCGGCACCTTGATCCTCGCGCCCTTCTCCAGCTTCCTTTATCTGCTGCCGTCCGCTCCTCATCACCAGATCTGTATTTAAATTTCCCACCTTCTTTTGAATTCCCCACCCTTTCGTATCCGGCAACTCCACCGAACCTCACCACGACCGATTATCGAGAGATCGAGGTTTCGATATTGGTTGGCCGGCGGCGCCACTCCCTGTTTATGTCGATATTCCTGGGGTTGCCATGTTGTGCCGATTGTTGAAAATCTATGTGTATCCAGTATTTTTGTTCTTTATCGATCTCACCTCGATTTCCTTTCGGTTTTGCAGCTCAATGGAGGTATGTATTGCGGTTTTATATGTAAATTTTCCGCCATCTTTACCAATCCTCTCTTTCGATTGCAGCTCCACCTTACATGGATGCCCCTTCATGCTCCGCGGTGGCTGGTCCTCGCCCCGGGGGCCAACTTGCGGCAGCAAGAGCCTCACTTCGTCCTCGCGCCCGCGGCAGCCTCGCGTCGTTCTGCCGGCCCGCGGCAGCCTCGCGTCGTTCTGCCGGCCCGCGGCAGCCTCGCGTCGTTCTGCCGGCCCGCGTGCCTGGCCCTGCGTCACCTCCCCTCGCGCTCAACAATGGCTGCTGCGGATGACACCCGCTCTTTTTGTAATTGTGTAGTGCAGTGCCACCCTTACCCTCGCCTGACCCAATCAATATACATTGATTAACGTTTGCCACTTTATTCGGCCCTCATGACCTTGGCCTCCCCTCCTCTCCGCACCCTGAGGCGGAGTGGCCGTCGTAGAGGAACAGTTCGGCCCAGCGGCGCTTCCTGTGGTGCGGGCCACACCCACGGTCCCTTCTCTGGGCTCTCCTCCTCCGGGCTGTCGTCGACCCGCCGGGCGCGCAAACGCGGATCTCGCGTCACTCGGGGCACCCGCCTCCACCCGATCGCACCCACCTCCTCCCACACACGGGAGTCCGGCGTCTCCTCCGCCGGCGCCGGCCACGTC